GTCCCTGCACATTGACCTATGCATTCCATCCACGACTGTCCCGATGAATAACTGATCTGATTAAAAGATTTTTTATAAAGTATGCTACAATTATTTGTTTTCTTCCTATGTTTTGTGTGCTTCCCCCCTGACCCCCCCCCCCCCCGCACACACACACATTTAGTAATTGTGATTTACTGAAAGAAATTAAAGAAGCTGTGGGCAATGATTGTGGCGAATAACAGGACCGAGTAAGGCGGTATTGAATCACGAACTTTAACAAGTAATGACAGTTACGATTTTAAACAAATATTAATATCATAAGGCAAAATTACAAACAAATTCTTGTTGTACTTGCTGTTTGCCGGAACAAATATGTTTTTTTTTAAAATTATTTTTTTTGAACTACGGACAATTAAAAATTAAAATTAAAACATCTGAGATTATTTTAATTTTAACAATTCCCATCTGAGATTATGCTATAGCAAAAGAAACTACGTCAGATAAGGTTAAAGTTTGGAGAAACTATCTGAGATCATTGTAGAGCTAAATTAAACTATCTGTGATAGTGTTATAGCTAAAATGAAACATATGTGATAGTTTTAGGGCTTAAATAAATTATCTGGGGTGGTGTAGTTAGATTTGGTGTCCTGGTATTTTCAAAACAAACAATCTGAGATCAGATGGCTAACAAAGAAAAGTAGCCAACTAAAGTCATGGGAAAGGTCGATGTGCGGGCCATCACATTAAGCAAACGAAACTTCTTGAGATTTGAAACGTGTCCTTGGGTAAGACTATATGTTTCATTTATATAACCGATTTGCTTACACGTGAAGATAAAATTTATTGGGGATGCCTGGTCATTACTATTTGTTGCAAGGTCAAATAAATAGCTTTATAGTTTTAGCGTAAAAGAGAAGTTCAGCGACATTATAATTTTTGTTCAATATGTTCTTTAATAGGATACCATCACAGTCCAATGGATCTCCTTCTGATTGGTAAAACTGGCAACGGGAAAAGTGCGACTGGCAACTCAATTTTAGGTCGGAATGTTTTCAAAAGTGAAAGCTGTACCACATCTGTAACAAAAGAAGTGAGTTATGAACACGCTGAGTACAAAGGTCGAGTTATTAAAGTAGTGGACGGCCCAGGTGTAGGGGATACCAGTGGTATTAAAGACCTTTCGAAAGCCACGATACTCGTCATGGACGCCATGCAAGATGCAATACTCCTGAACCCAAAAGGTTACCACGCATTCCTGCTAGTGGTCCGATACGGTGGCAGATTTACTGTTGAGGATAAAGAGGTGATTAGAATATTAAAAGGTATTTTTGGACAGGCGTTTGTAAAAAACTTTTGTATATTGATTGTAACGTGCGGGGAAAATTTCGATACAGAAGAAAGACAACAGAAGGGGAAAACGTTTAAATCCTGGTGCAGAGAACAACTAGGAACTTTTCAAGAACTACTACAAGAATGTGACAACAGGGCCATCTTGTTCGATAACAAAACTAAACATGAATTTGTCAGAAAAAAGCAGATGAATAAATTAATGAAAACAGTAGATCGACTTAAGAGTAGTGGACAACGCTACAGTGATGAAAACTTTCAGAAGGTCCACGCGGCAAGGGAAAGTCTACTTCTCGAGATTGAAGAACCAATTATTCGAGAGGAAACATCAAGCCAGCTGAGCATTATCCTACAAAATATTGAAAAATTGTCAAACGAGAATTCCTTTAGTAAGCTTCAAAGCCTTTATGAGCTGTTCAAAAGCACTCAAGATTTATATGAGCGAATTTTTGAAACTGATAAGGGAACTGGAATTCTCAATGCAAGTCTGTCGGCCGTGAAGGATTTAGAAAAAACATTGGTTCATAAAATCAGCGCATCGACCAGGGAAATGATAGAAATGGGGGAGGGACGAGATATCGAAGACGGTAACGGCGCACTTCAGCCTAACGAACAACTTAGTCCAGAAGTCGAAATGCGTAAAAAAATTCCAATAGTAGGAGTTGAATCATAGCAGCAGCAGGTTCCTACTCAACAAACTAAGGAAGGGGAAGAGTTGGGCCCAGGAGGTGAAGAAAGGAGACTTAATGTTAAAGTAAGTAACAGCGTCGATGAGAAGTTGAAAGAACGGAAGGAAATGTTTGAAAAATTGGGACAAATGCCAGCGTCTGCAAATCAAAGAGTTCGACGAAGACAATCAGAAATGGTGAGAATGGTGGAGAGGAAAAAAACAAAAGAGGCCCTGTTTTTAGAGTCACTCGGGAAGGAACAAACTGAGAAGGAAAGAGAACGGTTGAGCATAAAAATGGAGAGAGAAAGAGAAATTCAGGAGGCAGCTTTGGCGGCTCTGACTTGCGGTGAAGATGACGTACGCAATGCCTCGTTAATTGATTTGAATAAGAGATTACAAAACACATACGGAGTCACGCTATCAGACTCCACGGAGGAAAGCGTCTCAGATGAAGCTCGAATACAAAACGCCTGGAAGGCATATGGGGAAATGAAACAGAAATATGATAATCTGATGAGAGAGCAATTGTCTTCAAAAGTGCGTAAGGACAAAAATTGTCCCATTTTATAGAAAAGGGAAAGATGATATATGGGGTTATTCATAGATCAGGGCACGATATTTAGCCGACTTTTTATTCTCCCCCCTCCCCCCCACTCGGCCAACTAAATCTTCATACTGAGTCACACAAAAGTTATACACCCATAACTTGCGGTGAAGATGATGTACGCAATGCCTCGTTAATTTGGGTTGGAGGTGGGGGGGGGGGGCCCTCCAACCCCCTTTTTTTTTTTTTTTTGAACACTAAATATTTTGATATACAATTATGAAATTAACCGTACACATGATAGAAAAGGGGGAGGATGGGGAGAGAAAATGTCGTTTGAATCGTATAATGCAACTTATTCTAATGAAAAATGGAAGCCTCTGTCTGGCTCACAAATACCACAGAAACTGGTCATTCGAGAGCAACGAAATAAGGACAACTTTGCGACCAGTCCAACAGTCAAAGTGTGCAAAATGAATCTAAAAGAAGCAGGGGAAGGAACAAGGGAAATAATTGCACGTTAAAAAAAACTATGGAAAGAGAAGAGTCTTGCCACTTCGTTGAAAGGAGTAAAACTGGTGTTAAGACAATAAAAAGAGTCAACGAGAAGTTGAAAGCACGAAAGGAAATATTTGAAAAATAGGAACAAATTCAAATGGAACAATCCGCTCAAGGTCGAAGATATACAGAAATATTGAAAGTCATAGAGCGTGGAATAAAAGTAAAGGCACAATTTTTTTTTAAAGTCAATCAAGAAATACCAAACTGAGAAGGGAAGAAAGAGCAATTAAGCAAAACCAAGGCAGAGAAAGAAAAAATTCACCAGACAGCTTTTTTGAATGGGAATTTCGGTGAAGATGACGTAGCCCTGCGGAATAATATACATATCGAAATCCATGAGGAAGATCAAAATAAATACACGGAGTCACGGCATCAGATTCCATGAAGTAAAACATTTCTGTTGAAGTTCAAACACTAAATGCCCGCAAAGCTACCAAGAAATGAGCTTAAAAAGTATTGTAATCTGATTATACAAAAAAATTCATTTAAAAGTGTAGGTGAAAAAAAAAGGTGTGGGGTGTTATCTAAGTAAGGCCTCAACTCTGTTATCTAAGTAAGGCCTCAACTCTGTTATCTAAGTACGGCCTCAACTCTGTTATCTAAGTAAGGCCTCAACTCTGTTATCTAAGTAAGGCCTCAACTCTGTTATCTAAGTAAGGCCTCAACTCTGTTATCTAAGTAAGGCCTCAACTCTGTTATCTAAGTTAGGCCTCAACTCTGTTATCTAAGTAAGGCCTCAACTCTGTTATCTAAGTAAGGCCTCAACTCTGTTATCTAAGTACGGCCTCAACTCTGTTATCTAAGTACGGCCTCAACTCTGTTATCTAAGTAAGGCCTCAACTCTGTTATCTAAGTAAGGCATCAACTCTGTTATCTAAGTACGGCCTCAACTCTGTTATCTAAGTACGGCCTCAACTCTGTTATCTAAGTAAGGCCTCAACTCTGTTATCTAAGTAAGGCCTCAACTCTGTTATCTAAGTACGGCCTCAACTCTGTTATCTAAGTACGGCCTCAACTCTGTTATCTAAGTACGGCCTCAACTCTGTTATCTAAGTACGGCCTCAACTCTGTTATCTAAGTAAGGCCTCAACTCTGTTATCTAAGTAAGGCCTCAACTCTGTTATCTAAGTAAGGCCTCAACTCTGTTATCTAAGTAAGGCCTCAACTCTGTTATCTAAGTAAGGCCTCAACTCTGTTATCTAATCAAGGCCTAAACTCTGTTAAAATACTGTTCAAAAAAGATTTCAAATCTTCACTGAAAACTGACAGATCATTTTATTTCTTATTTTTACGACAAGCTTTTTTCTAAAGTGAGGTGCCGTTTGAATAAATTACCTCTGCTAAGAAACTCTTCAGGAAGCCTCAGCCAGAAACACATTGTTGTTAAACGAAATCATAGATTAGTAGCAACGCAAGCCACAGTTTCTATTCCGTAATGGGATCGTATGTCGCCCTACAGGCGACCACTGACCTATCCAAAGTCTATGTAGTTGTGTTTTTTTTTTCAGTTTTGTTCAACCGAAATGCCAGATATGAAAGGATGCCCCAAAGAAACCTTTGTCACACTCTGTGACTAAAAGTTAAACATAGTTCTAGATTACACTTGATAAATATCTTGATTTCAATTTTTTTTACTGATATAATTAATTATAAACCTTCTGTTTTAAGTAAAAGAAATACTGCTTAGTTTAAGTTATGTGCAGCTTTGCCCCGCTCCCAAACACCCTTCCACTGACTGCTGATGCCATGTAAGCTTTGTCATCAATTTAAAATTGACTAAATTTAAGTCTTAAAATAAATTGTGATATCACGTGTGATGAATAAGTCTTCGTGATGCCATCGGATGGATCGTACTGATTTAACTTAATTAATCTTCTATCATTATGTATATTTAGAGACAGTAACTTGCATAATGGATTGTAAAAGCTGTTTCATTTGTGCAATTAATTTGTTGTTGTTTTTGTTGTTGTTGTTGTTTTTTTTTTGTTGTTGTTTTAAACAGGATTTATAATACTACTCCATAATTGTTATTGTATATTTTACCCTCGATGTTCAAAACAGAATTAAATTATTTTTATTAAACTTATTTATTAATTAAGTTATTTTTTCTATGTAATAAAACAAATATTACACATTTCATCAACTCATCTGTTTACTTGATAAATTCATGTGCAAGTACATGTTTCGGGTCAAACCAAAATTAGCGAATATACCTGTGCTTCACTGCCTGGAGTGGTATAATGGGGTTTGGGGGGGGGGGAGCCTTTCAACGATTATGCAAAATTTCATTTAATTAGTGATAGGCATAAAAAGGAATCAGCTAACAGTGGGCGGGACATTTTTGTAGGTGGTGGACGCAGGTCATCGTTTATCGGAAGTCGCAAGTCTTTGTCAGTGAATTATTTTTTTTCATTTATGGCAAACAAAAGTTTTGTCTCCTTGTTGTTCCTTAGAAAATATAGAACTGCGTCATCTCAGATGATCCGGTGTTTCCTTTCGTACATCGAGCAACTAAATAACCACGAGGGGGCGCTTTTGCGCATTTCAAAATTTTTTAGACATAAGACACGTGACCGGGGTACAAAAGACCAATTGCTAAAAAAAGATATGGAAGAGCTCGTAGGATCTGTTGACCATCTGCCTCGGATGCGAGTAGGAGCGAGCAAACTAGATGGGGCGCTCGTGTATCTTGAGTGAAATGTTTCAACAAGGTAAAGAGATGCAGCTTTGGGGCGCCATGGAGGAGTCGATGGAAAAAGAAATCTTATTCGTGGTTCTATGGAAATATACGTCGGAGGGGTCTCCGTTAGGGTAATCAGCAAAGAAAAAGGAACCCTTCGGCTTCAAAAGACACGTCTCCAGAATCATCATTGTGAGGATCTCTTTGAAGAGCCAGATCCATTCGTATCATGTAAATAAACCTATTTAAACTGTACGATATCTCTTTGTTCTTGAAATCCAAAATGTTGTTGTTGGTGTATATAAATTATTCCGACAACTATTTCGAAAAATAATTTTAAAAAAACACACCTTATGGCTAGGGACCTCAAACCCAAGACTGAGAACCATTCAATAAACTCAAATAAAATTCAAATTATCACTACTTTAAAAACATTTAATTATACGAAAAAATGAGAACCACTCAATAAACTTAAATAAAATTATAACTGAATAAGAACACTAAATAAAAAAAAATCACATTAAATTATCACTATCACACAACAATACCACTAATTAAAAATTTACGCTACAAGAAAATTAATTTAAAATTCATATTAAATTATCACAATACAAGAGATTTATTCAAAATTTATTCATTTTAAACAAAAATTAAATTAATATTTAAAAAACCTAGAAACAACAAGACAATTATATAAATTTTAAAAAACTTGTCACACAACAAAGGAGGATTATTAATTATAATAAAATGAATCACTAGTAAGTCGATGATCACCCCTTGTCTATCGATCGACCCGCTCACAACACGCCTGGAGGCGCGACTCTTTATTCTTTGCGCCACCAACACCTCTGAAATGCTCGAAAGAAACAACTACACTACAACTCTCATCATTTAAAATGTGACGTAATGTTAGTTGCACACACAATACTAAATATTTCCAGAAAATCATCTGTCAGGTGAGATTCCATAGTGGAAACCGTGTTTAGGAACTAGGGCATAGGATTTCGTGACACCTTATTCAGCCATTTTCAATGGGTCGATTGCTAAAGTATGAAAGTTTTTATTTTAAACCAACCTTGCTTGCTTGATAATAGATTGTACAATTCGGTCAATAATAAATAGTATATAACAGTGATTCTTAATTTGTTTTCCCGCTACCACTCCCACTCCCTTGGGGGTTATGGTGTCCCCTATCTTACCTGATTCTAAGATTTCTTAGGTCAACTCTTTCCACGACCCTAAATGGAAAATATTTTAACAGGTAAAATATACAAATGTGAAATTTTAATCAAAATCAAAAAAAAAAAAAAAAAATTAAAACTGTCACAATTGATGCAATGAACTAGTTGATTAGCTTGATATTGGGTTACATCAGTCACCTATCTTACCTGATTCTTAGATTTCTTAGGTCAACTCTTTCCACGACCCCAAATGGAAAATATTTTAACAGGTAAAATATACAAATGTGAAATTTTAATCAAAATTAAAAAAAAAAAAAAAAAATTAAAACTGTCACAATTGATGCAATGAACTAGTTGATTAGCTTGATATTGGGTTACATCAGTCATCAGTTGTTGTTGTTTTCAAGTAGAGTTTTTCTTGGTTTTGGTTATCTGACGTCTTACTGATCAAATATTCTTAACGCGATGTTTTGGCTTAGTGGAGAGTTAGCAGCTTGTAGATGTCAAGAGGCTCAGCCGAGGCTTAATTCACAATGATTATTTTTATATTGATATCATTTCTCTGCAAGTGCACATTTTTATACTTTGTTTGGTTGAGTTTGTAAAATTACTACATTAATAACAATGTGACGTGTGATGTTTATAATAAGGTCAACAATAAGAGAATCACATGTCATGTGTCTTCAAATAATCTCCACTACATTATCAGACATCTTGTAAAATTCAATCTTGAACTTGTATTTTGACGACAATGAACCTAAAAATGAAGTGGCGGTTGTTCTAAATCTT